ACTCTCTCTCTCTCTCCCCCCCCTCCACCCCTTTTTTTTTTCGCTTCTTTGGCTGTCCACCGCTCTTCTGTTCTTTCTGTGTGTGTCTCTGTGTCTGTGGGGGAAAAAAAAGGGAGTTGTGGCCTTGTCTGAGGGAGAGTGAGAGGGTTATAGAGAAGCGGAATTGCGGCGCGGTGCTGGCAACAGCGTTGCCACCTGGCGCGAAACAGACCGGAGAAGGAGCATTGAAAGATAGAGAATTAGAAGTCGGCGAGAGCAGCAACAACGAACAAAACTGCAACCGGGCAGCCGGGGAGGGATTGTCACTGTGCATGACGGAGTGTTTGTCTCTTTGTGCGGCGCGTGCGCCTAGCATGGACGGCGAGGAAGTGCGTTTCTTGTTTGACCTGAATGCAGTTTCCCCTATTCTTCACCCCTTCCTCTCTTTTTCTTCTTCTTTTGCGTCGATTCCTGTCGCCTGTCCGGTGGATTTGCGTCTCTCCCTCTCTGTATGTGTGGCGACTGAAGAGGAATAAACGAGGAAGATTGACAGTTGGCGCCGTGGCCCCCGCTCTGTTACGCGCGCGCATAGGTACTACACAAGCGCCCGGCTGGAGAGCATAGATAGCAGGTACACCGCCTCTTGGCACTCGAGCCACGTTGAGTGCGAGAGTTGGTGTGATTGAGAGAGCAAACTGCGACGTAAGCCACAGCATCGGAAACAGCAGCGAGGCGAAGAAAAGTAGAAACTATAGAATAGACACAAGACAAGGAAGCAACGACAAAGGAAAGCGCGAGAGAGAAGGGAAGTGGGAGTGGCGAGAAGAAAAAAAAACAGAGGAATTTATTAAGAGGTGTGCGAATTTTTTATTTTATTTTTCACTTTACTAAGTCTCCTTGCTAATGCGTCTGAACATTACGACGCCCGATGAGCGTCATGAGGATGCCTGTACGTGTGTGGCTGTGTCTTTGATGGGCGACGTCATCAGTGCCGGCGACGACTTTGTGCTTCGTCGCTGGAGCTCGGCTGGCGAGCCACTTGGCAAAGTGCATCAGTTCGACAGCTGCATTACGTACATCACGTGGGTTCCTCTGCAGGGCGGCCGGAGAGGGCGGGGAGCAGCGGGGGGGACACTTGAAGGAAAAGACAACTGCCTTGTAGCGTGCGCTGATGGGACCTTTTGTTTTTTGAACGCGGCATCTGGTCGTGTGGAGCGCACCGTTGAGGCGCACGTTGGTACGATAACTGGACTTGTGTACTCTGCAGATGCCTCTTCCATTGTGTCCTCGGGGGAGGATGGGTGTGTGAAGGTGTGGTCGCAGGCCGGTATCCCGCGCACAACGCTGGTTTCCGTCGGGAAGTGCATCTACGCCCTTTGCTGGGGGTCGGAAACGACTGAGCTCGGGGGTGACTGCGTGCTGTACTGCTTTGGCAGCGACGTAGTCATTAAGCCACTTAACCCAACAGTGAAAAAGCAATTAAAGTGGAAGGCCCACAACGGAGTTGTGCTGGCCGTGGATTGGTCGCTCATGACGGGATTTATCGTTACCGGTGGCGAAGATGGGACGTATAAGGTGTGGGATCCTTGTGGTCGCAGTATTTACGTCTCCGCTGCGGGTGGGCATCCGTGTACGGCAGTCAAATTCGCAGCTGACGGTGAAATGTTTGCTGTGGGCTCCTTTATGTGCCTGCGCGTGTGCGATAAGACGGGATGGAGTCATACTTACGAGCGACTTGCAGAGGGCAGTGCCCTGTCCCTCCAGTGGACGGCGGATGGAACCCAGGTGGTGGTGGGGTGTGGTAGTGGCACGGTTTGCACGGCACAGCTTGTGGACCGTAAATTGTACTGGGGGCAGTACTGTGTGACCCTCGTAGATGGCAACAAACTTTTGGTCCAGAACGTTTTCACAGACACCGTGGAAGAACTGGAGCAGCGTGACAAGGTCATCAAGGTAGAGCTAGGCCACGGGCATCTCGTGGCGTGCACCACCACGCAATGCGTGTGCTACCCAATTGAGAAACTCTCCGCACCTGTGCAATTCGATCTTCGCGACGTCGTGATTACGCTCAGTCTCGGGGCAAAGCAGTTTCTTTTGGCCGACTGCAACGCCGGGATGCAGGTTTACTCTTACGAAGGACGACAGATATGCGTGCTGCGTCTGCAAGCATCTCTTCGACCGGAGATCATGGCACCTGACCTGGTCTCCTTGTCTCCGGACACTGTGGCTATTCGCAGCCCGGCGGACCCCAAAAAGATTCTTTTCTTCGACACCAATCACGGCAAACCGGTTGATAACGCCACCATTACACATCATCTCGAGGTGCAGTCGCTGGAGCTTTCGCAGCCTGGCTCCATGAGTGACCGAAAAATTGCCTTTGTAGATCGTAATCGTGACCTCTACTTTGGTTCAATGCATCAGCGACTCGGGGTGCAGAAAATTAGCACCATGACCTCGAGTTTGGCGTGGCACGATCGGCACGAGATTCTCATCGCCATTGCGGACGGCCACCTCACGACGTGGTACTACCCGACGATTGTCTTCTCCGACCGCGACTTGCTGCCCACCACAAAGACGCTGCGAGACGACGGTGTGGATGACTTTTCCCGCAATGACCGCATCGTCTCCTTTGATGGGACGCGCGTGAGCGTGCGTCGTGGCGTCGATGGGGCGCTGTTGACCTTCAACACCTCCCCATACCCCTCCATGGTCTTTGACCACGTTGCCCAACACGACTGGAATGGCGCGATTCGTCTGGCGCGCTTTTTAGATGACAAACCATTGTGGGGGATTTTAACGGGTCTGGCGCTGCGACAAGGCGAGCTGAACGTTGCGGAGGTGGGCTATGGCGCGCTGTTTGAGCTCGACAAGGTGCGCTACATCCGTCACTTGAAAAGTATTCCCACTCCTGAGGGACGACAGGCCGAATTGGCGTTGTTTCAGCGGCGACACGCCGAGGCGGAACGTATTCTGCTCCACGCCGGACTCATCTATCGCTGCATCGACATGCACACACGTTTATTTAACTGGGAGCGGGCGTTGGAGATTGCGATGGAGCGCAAAACGCATGTCGACACGGTTCTGGCACGTCGCCAGAGGTACCTGGAGGCCGTGGGCAAAGAGGAGACAATTCCGCTCTTCAAGGAACTCGCGACGTCGGTGAATGTGGACTGGGCCACGGTGGTCGAGAAGGTGAAGCAGGAGCTGGTGAAGGAGTCACAGCGCCCTGGTGCCAGGCCGTATCAATAGAGTTGCCGTCTGCTCCTCTTGCACGGGGACGACGACGCAAGGGAGTGGGAAAGTGTGGAGGTAACCGCAGCGTGCTTTATGCTGCGCGAGGCAGGCGAGTAGGAGGAGTAGCAAAAGCAAAAAGGAGGTAGCGTTGGCGAAGTGAATTTCATTTCATTTATTTTATTCCTTTGTCTTGTGTGCGGTCCTTCTCGGCGTATGCGGGTGTATGTGTGTCTTCAGTATTTTTTTTTTTGCTTCCTCTTCACGATTTTGATTGGTTTGTCTTTCCCCTCTTTTTTTTTTCATGGACGGGGTGCCTTGAGGGACGTGGCTTACTTCCACTTCGGGGTGGCGTTTCCGTCGCATCCGCCCATCGCGTCGGGGTGTGTGCGGGGAGGCAGCGGCGCCAGGGGGCAAAAGGCCACAGCAGCTCAAATTTCACGACGCCGCAGAGAGAGAGATATATATATATATATAGAACTATAGCTTTGTATGTAGTTGCCACTTCGTATCTGTCGCTCACTTGCTCGCTCTCACGACCCGCCCGTGAGCCTCTCTCTCTTTCTCTATCTGTGCGTGTGCGTGTGTGTCTTTGCGGTGCTGCCGCGCCCGAGCGTAGTCCCACCAGAATCCTTCCTACTTGTCTGTTTTCCTCCTCGCCTCGCCCCCCTCCCCCCGCTTCATTTGTTCTTGCCTGCTGCCGTTGGGTAGCGTCGCGGCGGAAGGCTGCGGTGAAGCGGAGGAGAACAACAACAACAAAAAAGAAGAAACAACAATCAAAGGGGAAGAAGGGAGGGGTGCGGCAAATGATAGGCGGACAACACACAAAGGAGCGCCTAAGTGAGCGGTTGCAGGATTGCCAAAACCAACCCAAGAACCGCGGCTACCTGCCAGGCACGAAGCTGCTGACGGGCGGGTACAGCACCAGAACCCTCCAGGGCAACTGGGCTGAGGAACGCGCGGACGCCGGTTACTACGATGGCGAGGCGGCCCTTCCCACCCACCTTGCAAGTGTGTGGACGACTGACTACCGCACCATGACAGGCAACGTGAGCGGCACTGTCTCCCGCCCCGTGTTTGACCAGGCAACGCTGATGGACATTGTGGATCGCAAGCACCGCGCGTACCCCGCACATCAACCGCACCTGGACCAACAGCATGCGACGTTGATGCAAGAGCGCTTCAAGACGGTCACAGGGGAGACGTACACGAATCCAGAGGAAACAAAACGACGGGAAGAGCTGTACGTTCCCCCGATTATTGGTCGTACGCCCACGGCGCAGGCAAAGGCTGTAATCCTGCGCTTTCAACGCCAGTTACTGCTTTCGCGACACGGGGAGTCGGCGTTTCCTGGAAACATTTTACGTCAAGTACGACTCTCTCTTGAGCGTAGCGACACGGTCGGGGAGGGAATGCTTACGGTGGAAGAGGCCCAACAGGCGTTTGCAGAAGCGTCTCTGACGACGAATAGACCAGAATGTGTGGCGCTCGTCCGTGCCTTTGACCTTAAAGGGGATGGGACGGTTTCGATTGCCAAGATCATGGAGGAACTGCGCGGTGAGCTGCGTGATCGTCGCTACAGTCTTGTGGAGAAGGTCTATGAGATGTTGAAAGGCTTCTGCCCAGATGGTATTTTGCGGCTTCAGCGCCTTGTGGAGCTTATTGATGTTGATAGCATGAATGCCGTGATCAGCGGCAGAGTGACATCGTCGCGTGCACATGGCGCCTTTGTGGAGCAGTGGGACTTGCCGAATGAGGCGTACATCTCCTTTGAAACTTTCCTTGTGTACTTTATGAATGCCTCCTTTGAGATTGACAGTGATCAGGAATTTGAGGTTTTTATGCGCAACGTATGGCATTTAAGCGGGGGTAATGGGAAATCCATGAATACCTCTTGCCGGCGTGTGCGTGTGGTGCACAGGAACGGCCGCATTACCACGGAGGAGGTGAAGAATGATTTGTACATCAAGGATGGCGACCCAAATATGATGGAGCGCATCATCGAAAACTTGGCGTCGTGGGGAATCAAGGACGTTGCACGGGCAGAAGTATTGCCGAGGGAGCTGTAATCGTGCCACGTCCGCCGTCTACAATGGCCGCGTTGGGGGTACGGTGCCGCTAGTGGAGTTTGTTGTTGCTGTTTGTGGTGGTGGTATGTTTTTTTTTTTTTTGTATGTACTTCAATGTAAATACTCTGATCTGTCGTCTTGTGCGACGCACGCAATGTATGCGCGCTTGCCTCGCCTCCGCCGATTGTTGTCTGCTTTGCTAGCGATCTCCCTGTGTTTCTGCGTGCGAGTGTGCGTAATGATAAAAAGGGGCGGAGAGTTTTGTCAGTGTTGTTGTTGTTGTTTTCTTTTTTTTGTTTTGCTCTTCTGCCTCTTCTTGCGCTTCCCCGCCCCTGCTCCAGTGGTTAGCAGCCCAGCACCGTGCAGCCTGTCCCACCCCACCGCTGGAGAGTCTCTGCGAGGGGGTTGAAGCAACCAACCAAACAAACGAAAAGGAGTGGACGCACCGAGGCGTCACGGAGGGAGCCAACACACTCGCAAAAGAAAAGGGGAGTGGGGGTGAGATGTTTCATAGGCAGTTGGCTAAACTCTGCTCCAAGGCGGCGGCGGCGGCTGCGATGACCCCAGCGGGGGGGAAGTCACCGGAAGAGGGGGAGAAGACCGCAAAGGAACTGGAAAAAAGCCAGCAGCGCAAGCAGATATTTATGCAGAAGTTTCGTGAGCGCTTGGCCAATGACACGACGGGTAAAAACACACTGGAGGGATTCATGGAGCTTCCCGAAGGAATTCCACCCACGGCGGCGGCGGTTGGCCCTCTGAAGCGGGGCGCGGAGCCGCTGCCGCCCTGGTTGAAGCTGAAGGTTGCAAAGGGCTTTTCACAGCGGCCTCGCTTTAACAGAATCCGAAAGTCAATGCGAGAGAAAAGTCTGGCAACCGTGTGCGAGGAGGCCAAATGCCCCAACATTGGAGAGTGCTGGGGTGGGGGCGAGGAAGAGGACACCGCGACGGCGACGATCATGGTTATGGGAACACACTGCACACGAGGCTGTCGCTTCTGTTCTGTGCTGACAAGCCGCAGGCCGCCCCCACTGGACCCAAATGAGCCGCAAAAAGTGGCAGAGGCCGTCGCAGAAATGGGTGTTGATTACATTGTGATGACCATGGTTGACCGTGACGATTTGGCGGACGGTGGGGCTGCGCATGTTGTGCGGTGTGCGGATGCTATTAAGGAGAGGAGCCCTCAGCTGCTCCTCGAGGCGTTGGTGGGCGACTTCCACGGTGACCTGAAGCTCGCAGAGACGGTTGCCTCCTCACCGCTTAGCGTGTATGCACACAACATTGAATGCGTGGAGCGCATCACCCCAAATGTGCGTGATCGTCGCGCGACGTACCGTCAGTCACTTAAGGTACTCGAGCACGTCAGCACCTTCACCAAGGGCGCGATGCTCACAAAGAGCAGCATCATGTTGGGCCTCGGGGAGCGGGAGGAGGAGGTCCGGCAAACCCTTCGAGACCTACGCACTGCCGGTGTTTCGGCGGTAACGCTCGGCCAGTACCTGCAGCCCTCACGCACGCGTCTGAAGGTGAGTCGGTACGCACACCCAAAAGAGTTTCAGATGTGGGAGGAGGAGGCAATGGCGATGGGCTTTTTATACTGCGCCTCTGGTCCACTGGTGCGGAGCTCTTATAAGGCTGGTGAGTACTATATCAAAAATATTCTGAAGCAACGCGAAACCGCCAAAGCAACAACAACAACGAATACTGCTTCTGCGGACACGAATGCATCTTCTACTGCAGCTTCTGCGACGTCTTCGGCGAAGTCGTAGGAGGAGGGAGATGGGAGGCACAATTAATTCGTGCGGGGCCGATAAACGAAGGGGCAAAAGACGGCGGCAACAAAAGTAAAGCTGCAGAGGAGGGTGTAAGTTAATTTTTCCTCTGCTGAGTCCCCGATGATGTTCCCTCCTGGGGGGACGCCCTCTCTTTCTGCCCGCCCTAATGTGTTTTTATTCTCTCTCTCTCTCTCTCGCTCTTTCGTTACTGCCTTTTTATATTCGTTTGGCTTCGCCACCTCTCTGTTTGTGCTCGTGGGGGCGTAAACATCTGCCGTCGGCGCGTTATTTTCTCCTCTTGGCTCGGGGAGCGCCTCATGTGCCACTTCTCTTCTCCTCTTTGTTTCTTTTTTTTTGTCTTTTGCCACCACCGCCGCCGGGTGCTGTGCTGGGTGGGGTGGTCAGCCGCCACACTTTTCTTTCCGCTGTGGCACCATCGCGTGTGCCTGCCGGACCAGTTCTCACACGTAGCTCCTGGACAGGCCCCCGCGCGCCGACGACATCGGTTGTAAGAGGCGGAAGGAGCATCAGAGGAATTATTACACACACGCACACTCATACGCCGAAAAAAAAATAGGAGGTTCCGTAAGCAAAATAAAATAGAAAACAACTACAGCTTAGGTGCAACGCTAAAGGAGGGGACACCTGCATTCTTTTTGTTTTTGTTTCTTCCTGTCTTGCTTTCTTCGAAGGGAAACCAAAACACACGTGAAGTGTGCGAGTGTATTTAGTTTCATTGAGGTACGTCCTTGTTTTTGGCTTCAGTTGTGCCCAAGAGAGGGCGCTGCACATAGCCACATCGTTCAGCAAAACAGAGCGACAGAGCAACATCAGCGGTAATAAGCAGCATCAACGGCGAAACGGGGACGGCAAGAGTAGTAACTGCCCCTATAGTAGGCACAAGGAGACGTATTTTGTTCGACTTACTGGGGATTTTTCTTGACAAGTTCCCATGTTTAACGCTGGCGGCATGGAAAAGCGTCGCCTCCAACGTGCGACCATGGCCGGCTGGCCTCAGTGCTCCCCGCCTGTTGCAGGCAGCATTGACAAGGGTTGCGCCGCGGATGCCGCGGCATGCGGGAAACTTGACCAGCCAGAAGCAGGGAGTCAGGGGGGGATGGAGGGCATGTCGCGTAGGGTGGTGAATTGCCGCTCGCTTTCCATGGAGGACATATCACGCATGCGGCTGCGAGGCTGCCGCACAATGGCGTCGACGACCTCATCTCTCTTCATGCAGGAAATGCAAAGACAACATCCAGGCACAGGTCACTTCTCCCTGACGAGCCACATGTTGATGTCATCGCTCCGTTCCACGTCTCCACTGCCCCCAGAGACTTGGACATCGCGATACCACGAGCATCAAGAGACGGATTCTCACTTCCCCCAAAGTGGTGGGCGTGAGTCTGAGGAGCTTTTCTTTGGGGGCTCTGCGTTGCGCTGCATGACGCATGATGGCGAAGAAAACGAGGACGAGGTCCTCAGCGTGGCTCACAACAGTGTGGAGACAGAAACCCTTGATGCGGGGTCTAGTGCGATTCACACGCTCACGGCGAATCGTTTGTTGTCCTTCCGGTTGGAAACCTCCCGGACCCCTGACGTGAATGCTCCCTTCGTTCAACGGAGATGCGTCTTTCCCCCCTCAAACTCGCCGTATCTCAGTAGAAGTTCCTCCCACTGGAACATGACGCCTGGAAGCCATGCGTTCTCAACGTGGCGGTTTCCAGTGCTTGGGAGGGCGGAGGCGGATACTTTTTCCCTCCTTTGCCCTGTTGACCCGAGGGGTGCTGGGGAGGAAGAGGGGGCGAAGGAAGCAAATGGGAACGAGGGGGAGCAGAGGGGACGAGACAGCGGAGACGCGGGCGGCGGCGGGATAATGGAGGAATGCCAGAAAAATATCAAGCAAACAGACACCGCACCTCCTACCGTTTTCAGTCCTGAGGAAGTCAAGGAACAAGTGGCTGTTCCCGTCGTTGTTGAAGGTAAAGATGATGGGAATTCTGCTGTAGGGCAACTCTCCAGGACGGGCCATCATGACTACAAGGACGATGCTGGGGGTTGTTGTTTTTTGGAGCCGCAGCAACAAGGCCAATACCTGAAGCGTCTACGGTTTGTGTATGCGTTCTACGATTTGATAACCCCCGCCGCAGAGGATGAGGTGGACACGGTCCTTTCGCGAGATCCTTCGCAAAGCACTGGCCGTCTTGTACCTCCTCATGCGGGGCTGCCTTGTCCATCACTTTCATCGACAATGATGGGAGCACCGCCTGGATATTACAGTTTGGGGTCTCGGCGCAGTATGCAGCACCCAAATAAGCAGGCCGTTCCTATTGTGTCGCCGCTGCTTAACGGTTCTTTCCTTCACCATCATGGCCAACACCTGAGTAGTCTCACACTTACCATGGATCCCCAAATTGTGTTCCTGATCGAGCGGCGCCCATTATTACAGACGACCCTATTTGTTGAGTTTACCTATCGCAAAATTTATCAGCAGCAGAAGAGGCAGCAGCAGCAGCAGCAGCAGCAGCAGCCACCTGGGAACAGTGAGGGTCGTTCTGGGAATGGTCCAACGTGGGCTCCATTCCTTTTTGGGGGAATACCAAGTCGGGAAGAGCCTCTTGAAACGGAGTCTAACGCGGCTGCTAGTGTGCCGACCAATGCAGTAGAAATTGAGTCGCCGGCGGTTCTGATTGCAGCAGATAGCGTAACGCAGTCCAGTCCTACTGCGGGGGAGTTGGGTGAACTTGCGCCGAAACTAGTTCTCTCCTCTGCACCGTTGTTGGGGCAAGAGGAAGAACCAGCCACGGTGCATCGCCGACCGCTAACGCAGTTGCATTCCTGGAAGAAGAAGGTTCACACCATCGATGGGACGACACGTTGTGTGGATAATGAGGAGGATGACCTTGTCGTTTATGTAGGCATGATTATCATGGGATGGTTAGAAGTGGTGGATCTTTTGGGCGCGGGAACCTTTGGGCAGGTCTTTCTATGTAAGGACCTACGTATCTCGGACGGCCACTTTGTGCACCCAAGCGAGATTGAAGGGGAGGATTTTCAATACTGGCAGTGTTCCCATGAGTATATTCCCTTCAGTGATCCATCGCTCATGCCGACGCACTCCCCGCTTGTAGCCGTCAAGATTGTGAAGAGCCGAGAGTTGTTTGAGCAACAGTCCATCCTGGAGGCGGAGATGCTTGTGTACATTGGAGCACAGACCGCGCCTCAGCCGACGCGTGGTTTTGGGGTGTTAGAGGGGAGCGCACATCTTCCCTCCGCGCCGGAGCCTCCGGAGTCGGATCCTCGCTGCAAGCACGTAGCGCACATTTTTGCGCATGGAATATGTTACGGTCACCATTGCATCGTCATGGAACGTTATGGCGCGAATCTTTTTGAGTACGTGCAGAGCCATGATTTCAGAGGACTTCCAATGTACCAAATTCAGGAAGTTGGACGCAAAATATTGTTGGCGTTAACACTCCTTCATGAGGAGTGCCACGTAGTGCATGGCGACATCAAGCCGGAAAATGTGCTATTAACGCTTGATTCATGTTTTTCTGCCGCCACTGTCCATGGAACTGCGGCTGCGAACGCCGGAGGGGGGTGTGGGGTCCAGAAGGGTGGTCTTTCTCGTGGTTCAAGGGCGCCGTCCGAGACATCTCCCGTGCTCTTGGGCCGCCCAGCGAGGGTTAGCTTCAAACATAACTTAACCGATGCCTCGACATCCAACACAATGGAGTCTCCGTTGCCGGCTCCAGCTCCATTCCGCACGTACAATGGTGGCTCCCTTGACAGAATCCAGAGCTCACCCTATGACAAGGAGGCCTTGGGGGAGACTGAGCGAGGTGTGGAGGAGGCGGCTAGAGAGGGGCAGGGTTTTATTATTCCCTCCTTAAATATCAAGATTATTGATTTTAGCAACAGTTTCTACGTGGGTGCAGGCATCTACACATATGTGCAGTCCCGCTACTACCGAGCTCCGGAGGTGATTGTTGGTGCTGGCTATGGTCCCCCAATTGATGTCTGGTCGACAGGGTGCCTCCTCGCCGAGTTGCTGCTTGGGCTCCCCCTCTTGCCCGGCAGTTCCGACTATCACCAGCTTTACCTGATCGAGGAGATGCTAGGGCCACTTCCCGCGGAGCTGCTTCTGCGGGGAAAGCAAACCGCTGACTACTACCATGTCGAGGGTGCACAAGCTGAGGGTGGAAGCCCCGTGGGCGGGGATTCTCCGCAAGCTGACGAGGCCGTTGTAGAAGAGGGCGCTCCCACTTTTAGGCTCTTCCGGGAGGAAGAATATTGTGCTCGTCACGAGGACGCCTCTCCTGTGGAGTGGCGGTGCTACTTTCAGTACCGCACGCTTGCGGAGCTGCTGCGGAACTGCATGCTTAGCATGGAGGAAAAACGAATAGCGCTTGGGAGGCTTCCTACGGTGGCGATGGGCGAATCCGCTGAGGATATGGCACCGCCAGCAGCGGGACAGCAAAGGTCGACAAAGAACATCGTTGATGAGATGATGCAGCAAAGATTTTGGCTGTTCGATTTGCTGAAAAAGATGCTTCACGGCGACCCAGCCAGAAGGCCAACGGCTCACGAGGCCCTCTCCCACCCGTTCTTTATGCACACACCAAATTACATGAAACCATATCGGTTCGCGGCTGAGTAGCTTGCAAATAATATTTTTAAAAAGGAAAAAGCATGAAAAGAAAAAATGGTGCGGTATGCGTTTATTCCGACGAATACTGTGTTTTATTTATTCTTTTTGCTCTTAACGTGAAATGGGAACAAATTAAAGAAAAAAAAAGAAGAGATGGTGTCAAGAAGGAGTATACACGTATGTATATATATAATATATGTACATGTGTCTTTGCTCTGCAGAAGTTGGAGGCGATGCGCCTAACAGTATGGGCAAAATGCGGGGCTCTTTTCTTCTTCTTCCTCCAACAGCGGAAGGCGGCAATCGAGCGCGAAGAACAACTTCAAGCAGGCGTGTGCGTCTACCAGGAGGCGCTAAGGGGGAAAACAACGTAGTCATTCCTCTCTCACTCCTTCGTTGACACTTACTCATTCTCTTTTTTTTTTAAGCTGTGCTGTGCTGTCCCTTTTCATTTTTTTTTGGTTTTGATTGCGGATTCACGCTTTTGTGTGTGTGTGTGTGTGTCACTGTGAGGAACTAATAATTAGGCCGCCGTAATTATGGGGCTTGCTTGTATATGTATCTCTCTCTCTTTCTCTTTTTCTTTCCCTTTCTGTTTATATATATGTAACTCTCTGTGCATGCAGTGTTAAATAAGAAATTATATGTGTTTTATTTTTATTGTTTTATTCCCTTTTTTTTTCCTATTTCTATCATTACCCTCTACCTGCCGCTCCGACCACCACCACTACTACTATGCCACTAACACCCTCCACTGTGGCTGTGGGGCACGCCAGCTTCGGAGCCCCAACGGCCGCCAATTCGCGGTTTGACGGCGAGGGCCCGGTCATCAAGACCACATATATATGTACACACATACACACACACACACACACCAGATAAGTGGGCGTGCTCTGGTGCTTGCGTCTGCTGGATAAATCTCAGTTGAATTTTGTGTGTGTACTTCTGTGCCGGGGGTTGGATGCATCGAAACAGACTGCAACTGCCCATGGTGGCTTTAACTTTTTCATCTTCTTACAGAATACGGGACGAGACTCCATTCTGACGCACGTTTGGTGTTGCTCTTGCATTGCCATGGGAGGGCAGAGACGCAATGACGACTACGCTAGGTGGAACTCTGCGGCGCATCCCAGGTTTTGCCATCGCAACCGTGAATAACGGTAAAAATTTTCTTTTTTCTTTCGCCTTCGTGTTACTCACTGGAGCATCCCTTCCCTTGAGTGCTCCCCGCCGTACGGCTTTCGCGTATTTCTTTTGAGAGTGCAGGTGTGTGTGCATGTTCGGTTCTCACTGTTGCTTTTTTTTTTCCTTCTCTTGTTGCTGCTGCTGCTGCTGTTTATATATATATTTTTATAATTTTACTTGCCTGTTATTATTGCTTGCTTGTCTTCCCCTCTTTTTCGTTTCTCCTTGTGGATTGTGGCAAGTCCACCTGCCTGCATCACGACGGCAGGCAACTAGCACGGCGCGTGTGTGTGTGTGTGTGCGCGCGTGGGGGACGACAGCGCACGCCGACCAGCGCAGGCGCAGAGGGGGTTGAGGGGGTGGGGGTGGGTGGGTGGGGAGACATAATTGCGTGGGCGGTGCGCAATGGGCATTGCTGCTTTTAGGCCGTTGCGGTGGTTCCGCGACAATAGGTCGGCGAAGGAGTGCGCAAATTCCCCGCGCGGCACAATTGCCGGCTGCAGTCCTCTCCGCGAAGAGCGGCAACAGCATTCCGTGGTTATTGCCTCTGAAGCGTTAGCAGTAGGTGATGACAACAAGCAAGGGGACACTCTTCATAGCACTCACTGCAAGGGGCAAAGAGATAAATCTTTGCCGCGGTCTCCACCCCTATTTGCCGCCGTGGGCTCTGAAGAGGATGAAGTTGCGGGTTCAAAAAACGTTGCAACCGAGAACCCGTTGGGCGCCACCGCGAGGGAGAAGCTGTGGCAGCAAAGCACGTTGGAGATGTCTCTGCGGGGCCTTGGCGAAAATCCGCTGCGCCCGAAACAAGGGGGGCGCCGAGAGTCAGTGCTCACGGATGAGGTAAGAACGCCTCTACTGTTTCGAACTGCATCGTTTCATGAAAGAAAAGGAAGCGTATATAGTGGGGTGACGTGGGATGGGACGCAACGATTTAGGATGTCATCTCGCGCAGGAGGAGATGTTGCGTCTAGGCCTCTCCGGGTTCTGAGTGGACGGAAGTCGCCAAATTCCATTCTTTCGGATTTCCATAGTAATGTGGAGTCGACGGTAAACCTTAGCCAGGGGAGCAACGCTCGCTCGCTGCAAAGTGCATTGTGCAGTGTTGAAACCACAAGGACCTTAATAAATGCCAAGGCCGTCCTTCGCAAACATGTACACCATTCATTGGCATCCTCGTCAGAAAGTGGCAAAACTACTAGTTATCGTTCCGCAGTACATAATGCCCGAAATGAGGGAGATGTGGGGGCTGTGAGACCAGTAAACCCTTTAGTTCCATTTGACGTATCTGGGGAGTTCGCCCGTGTGTCGCCGGCAAATGAGGGAGACTTTGGTGATAGGATGGGCGAAGAAGTATGGGAGTGTGCCGGGGGCGATGGTGGTCGGTGTCGCAAAGGGCATACACCTTCACAGATTGAATGCCCTTCTCCAACCCTGTCATCATCGTCTGTGTTCCGGAATCGTCGCAGCTCTTCGGGCCAATGCGGAGTTTTTTCAGCTGACAGAGCCATGATTTCTGACCTGATGGATCGCTCTGTAGAGTACGCAACTAGTGAGGATCCCCCGGACCAGTCCTCTGGCCGTTACATCAACAGGCGGTTCTCAGCGCATCCTCCTCAGGACACCGGTTGGGCACCCCCAGCCGAGCTTCTTTCAACGGGCTACACCCCACAATTTAATGGGATGCCGCCTTTTCGCAGGGAATTAGGGCACGCGGAGGGCGTCATAGCCCGCGGCGAAGCTGAGCCCGACGGAACTGAACTTAACCAAAACGGCGTATGTAATTCAAATGAGAATAAAGGTTGGGTGGGGATTGGCGGTGACGCTGGTGTCGAGAGCGACGACTGGTATGCGCGGCTGCGCTCCCGTCTTCGCCTGGACGATTCCGAAGGAAATGCAGAATCTTCCAACAGCACCGGGCACATTTGCGGCAACGGCGACCGGGAGAAGAAGAGGGGCTCTGTCTCCGGCGGCGGTGTGGGGGCCGAGGTGTGCCCCGCAGGAGACAGCAACAGTGAGGAATGGGGACAAGCTAACAAGGCGAGGTGGTAGTCACCCGCCGTCAGTTATTTGCCGAAGTGCAGAAGGCCGCTTCCCTCGGAACTAGAGGAGGAAAAGGCAGAATAACATATTAAAAAGAAAAGAGGGTTGGAAAGAAAGACAGGTGACCAACTGTAAACAGCGGAACAAAGGAGCGAAGGGAATTCTTCTCGCTCCCATCCCTCTCTTTACCTTGCCCCGTCCGCGCACATGCAAGTACCAAGAGTCAATAAGGGAAGAAAAAAAAAATGGAGAGAATAAAAGAGCAAAAAAAACAAAAACAAAAGCGAAAAGCGGAAGCAGGAAAAAAAAATCAAGAGAATACAAAGGACAAGGTAAGTGGGAATATTAATAATAACTTGGAAGATGAGTAGGGGAGAGGCATTTGTACATTTCTCACATTGGCTGCTAGTGCAGAACTATTTTTCCTTGGATCGTATATTGCTCCGTGTGTGATTGTCTGAAAGCGCTACTTTGGGTTCGGTCTGAGCACTCAACCCCTCGCCTGCCCTGCTCTGCCCTGACCGCATTAAGTTGCTGGGCTGTGAGCGATGAGGAGACGGAAACGACACGGTGCAGGTTGGCTCTGTGCCACTGCCTCCGGGTGAAGCGAAGACCCAGCAAGAGGGGTTGATAGAAACAAAGCAACTCTGCGACTGTCATGCCCCACGATCAGCAACATATGTACACGTCAAATCTCCCTTCTTCCCGTACTACCACTAAAAACGCAAGCGAAAAAAAATATTTGTTTCTTCTCTGCCACAGGCATGAGCTGAGGGGAGGCAGGAAGGATGAAAGTATGAATGTGGTTTTTTTTATTTTCCTCTTTTCTTCTCCCCCTTTTTTTCTTGTATTTGGTAGTTGATGTAATTGAGATCAACATTTGTGTTTTGTCTGAAGTCCTTTTTTTTTGGTCAATCGCACAGTGTACTTTCACAATTTATTTTGTGTTTACTTCTCGGAATTTTGCATGTGTGCATGTGCGCATGCTTGTGCGTGTGCCTTCTCCTGTGAAATAATTGATGGCCCCTTCACTGTATTTGGTGGGGCGTTTATACAACATGTATCTGCTGCCATCTTCTAATGATGCTGATATAGGCGTGTGACCCACATTGACTTCCCCTCCCCCTACCACTTGAATATGGAATGTAGAGGTCTATATGCATTTTTATTTGACACATATATGCGAACGCTCTCACTACGTGTATGCTCATTGATATATCGGCGTCGTTACGCCAAACGGCTTCTACAGGAGGTCGGAAAGGGAAGGTGAAGAGGACAGCGTCGAGCCATATTATTATTATTTTTTCTTTCTGTGCGTCATACACATTTTCCTACATTGCTTCTTCTTTTGGCTTCTTTGCGTGCTGCCTCGGGTTTGTTGTCTCTGCTGGACTTTGTCTGCCGCTACGGACGGGGGAACGACAAGGGAAATAGAGGATCTGGTGGCACAGATTGGTTTGGGGATCGGGTGCACAAGAGCGATTGTGAGAGGGAGAGCGAGAGAGAGAGCGAGAGAGAGAGAGAGCTCCCCTCCCCTTCTAGATCACTAGACTCTGCTATCTAAGCACATATATATATATAATTAAAGGCGAAAGGGTATCGATACAATATTCAAAAAAAAACCTGCGACACCAGCTCAAGGGGCGTGGAGGGAAGAGAGGCACAGAAGGGTAATAAAGCGGTAGATACTCGCATAGATTCGCTTGCTGTAGCATTTGCCATGACCTACAAGGAGGTGGCGTTGGCAGCGCAACTCAACGGTGCATATCGCTGTGCCACCGCTGCTCTTGTGCGCACGGAGCCGAGGGAGACAATTTCTCGTCTGGCGCCCGCCAGGGCGTCGTCCAAGCAACGCGGCGACAGCAGCTCCAGGGGCGGGAGGGGCGCTGAAAAGGCTGACACCCCCACCAAGGGGTCCGGGAACAACGGGTCCTCTGCCCCCGCGCCTACCCTGTCAAGCGAAGGTCTTCGTTGCTCCTTGTGGCTGGGGCGCAGCGATGGGGTTATTGAAATCCGCTCCGAAGCTGTGCCGGAGCGTCTCCTGGGTCTTGTGCCCCCCGCGGCGAGGGCGGTAGTGACGTCACTGCTCCAAATTTCTCGCAATCGTGTGGTTGCCGCCCTCTCGGACGGAGTACTTCGGGTAATAGACGCGGTTTCTCTGCAAGAACGCGCGAGCGTACAGGCACACAAGTCGTCTATCACGTGCATGGTGCCTGTGACCTTGACAAATGTCCAACGCCCGCAGGAAGAGTCTGAGTTCCCGCGCATTTCTGCTTTTGTCACCGCGTCCTCAGACTTCACAATTGCGACGTGGGACGGCGTGACGCTGGGGTGTCTCTGTCGCATGCGGGGCCACTCCTGCGGGGTGACGGCGTTGGCGGCGACGGCGAGTGGGGCATTCCTGTTTAGTGGAGGCAAGGACGGTTCGCTGCGGATGTGGTCCTTGCTGGACGGCGCCCAGGTTGTTGGGATGTCCACTAGTCACAAGGGCACAAAGAAGGCGACGAAGCGGAAGGAGGTGTCCGTGTCGCTTTCAGAGCATCCACAGCAGGATGTAAAAAGGAAGAAGGAACTGTTGTTGCCGCCTCAAAAGGGAGGGTATCACACTGCAGGACAGCCAACAGCTGCGGAAGTTCGTTCCGTACACACACGTCGTTCAGTCTCTGCGCAAACCGTGTCCCGAGCGGCGCCCACAAGAGCGGCTACCCCACGCACCGGATGCACGTCGCTCACCCCAACTCCAAGGAAGGCGACTACTACAGGCGCTGCCGCCTCGCACGCACACCTTTCATCCCCGCAAGCCACGGCCATCACGCCGCGAAGCGCAAGGGCGTTCTCTGCCGCCCCCGCGACGCGTTCGGCGGGGAGCCGGAAAAAGTCTTCGCGCGCCATGTCCGCCACTGCGGGAGACCGAGCTTCCCGCAAGAATCCGATGAAATCCAGCAAGTCGGGTCCAACTACACCGCGTCTGGGCGTCGTGCCGCACCTCACTGAGGTGGAGGTCGCCATCAGCGTGGCGGACGAGGAGGAGGAGGAGGAAAAGAACGAGAGTGACGAGGATGACAAGGACTGCCTTGAGGCTTCTGGTAAGGCCCGCCAAACACCCCGCAAAGAAGATAGGGAAGGAGCCTTATTGGGAAAGGAGCTGGGTTCCGGGGCGGCGGGTGAGGGTAAAACGGCACGAGCGGCGACGAAAGTGAAGAAAGGCAAAAAACGTCAAGCCTTCAATTTTGGCACCGTTTTTCAACAGTTAGTGGGAAAGACAGGGACGGATCCTATGATCCAACGCTTCCTCGCCGCGCGACGTTATAGTGGGGAAGGGGACGATGCCGTCTTGCTTTGGCCACTTAAGTGTGAGCATATGCAGAGCATTACTGGTCTAGCGCTTATAGGAGACCGGATTCTAGTGACAGCGTCTCGCGATGGCGTGGCCAAGATGTTTGCCCTACCCACTGGGCGAATGCTGTGTAGCGTTCATCGCAGTCGTGCGGCCTTGACCAGCCTTGTCGTGGATGAAATGCAGTGCCGTCTCTGGATTGGGGGCGCCGATGGTTGTATTTCTATCTACGATGCACTCCACCCAGAGGCAGGGCAGCTGCACGGCTGGCGAGATCTTAACACGCCACATCCGCAGCTAGTGCCACTGGTGTCACCTGGGTCAGAGGGTCTCGTATACGTGTTGGCCACGCGCACGGAGACAACTGCGGTGAGCCAACCAATTCCCACGCATACAAGCACGGGTGACGCGGCGCAGTCGAAACCGCGCAAGGCCTCTGCCGTCAAGGATTCCGCACCCGCGACGTCTTGTGGCAGTAAAGTCCCGAACTCGACCATCCGGTCAACCCTGGCGTGTGTCCGGTTGGATGGCGCGGATGATGAGTTGATGCTGGATGCCTCCTTGGTGCAAGCACTAGACAGGCAGTTTGAGAGTGCACGTAGTTTTTACCTTGGAAATAGCTTGCGCGAAGGCGTCTTTCGCAGCGTTTTACGTCGCTCGGTGACGGAGGAAGGCGAGGAATTACCGGGATATCTCACGGAGGAGAAGACGCAAGTCGTCTCCGCTCTGGAAGCTGGCTCCGCTCGATTGCTGCGGCAACGGGCCTTCAGCCGATGGTGGATATGGCGGACCCGCCGGGTGACACGCTACCGGCGACTGCGTGTAATTTGTTATTTAGAACGCCTTCAGCAGGAGAGAATGCTGGGCACATTTTTCAGGCGGTGGCAACAGCTGAGTTTGTCTAAGAGGCGCTCCCTGTACCCACTGGACATTGGCCACGTAGAAAAACGGGTACAAGGTACTTTCCTTTCCTACTCCTGGGATGGAACCCTTGACGGGGGGAATACTGCGCAGGAACTTGCAAATGCGCTCGCTGGTGCCAAGCAGCGACGTCTTTTGCAACGCCACTACGACAACTGGCTTCGTCACACGCGAGAGATGCGGCGTAGTGTAGTTCAAGGCACAGCCTTCAATAGACTATTTTTGTCTTTTTGCGATGCAAAGTTTGGGGATGGCTCTTTCATGTGGAGACGACTAGGGGCCGCGGCCGAGGCAACGCTGCACCACCGCCGTGCACTTTGGTTGCTGGAAAAACGCATGGTTCCCAACCAATACAAGTGCCTCAGCTACTACCTGAGGCGATGGATGCAATATGTTCAAAACCAAAAAGAGGGCCGTCATTCGTTAGTTCTTGTTGAGCCACTCTCGTCTGTATTGGTGGATGAAGGCGCACTGCGAGCACGCTTCTACCTCAAGTGGTATCAATACGCCCTCTTTGAGGCAAAGCTGGTGCGCCTCGACGAGGAACGAATGACGATGCAGCGAGAGTGGATTGCTGTGCAAAACGCGGTGGACAGCACAGCTTCGGTGGCGGAGCTTCGCCAAGAGGAGGAGCACCTGGAGCTGGAGATCGCGCAGCAGGCATTTGAGCGCGATGGGGTGGAGAGCCAAAATTTGGCGCTGCGCTCCGAACTGGATTACCTGCAAGTGCAGAAGTCCCTGGACTGCCTCCTTGCCGGTTATCGCGATTCCTGGGACTCGCTGCGTAGACGACGCGACTCGGGTTCGGTGCCACGCAGCAGAGTTTCTAGTAACACCAGTCGTGATAGAACACTGCCGTTGTTGGATGAAGACGCCTGTGAGGGTGAGCTGTCAACGCTGCGACAGGTGGGAGCCGTGTTGCGGGCACTCAAGGCCGCCGGCGTCCGGTGTGGACGCCACAGGGCGCTTATTGTGGCCTCGTACGAGCGGGTGGCGCAGCTTCCCATATTTGAGTGCCCCTTGGAGGCCTCTGACTACAACTCCAACGTGTCGGTGTGCTCCACGGGCGGTGAGCCATCTACACTGCGCGTTGCCTCCACCACGCAGGTTCTGGAGGGGAAGCCGTTGGCCGAACAACGGCGGAGCCTCACGACATATGCGAACGCACCGATTTCTCTGGCGGGGGAGTTTGATCGGACCGTGCAGCAGCTGCAGATAATCATTGCGACCGCGGCGAGGGTGACAGGCGCCGACCTCAGCGCGCCCCTCAACTATGACTCACTCCTTTCCGTACCGGAGAAACATGCAAGCAGTGATAAGGGGCTTGTGAACCCCACAGATCGCGTCTCGCTCTGCTGGTTAAACTTTGTGCCATCCACCACACGAACGGAGGCGCTTCCGCTAATTGTCGATCTTGTCGCCATGTTTGATTCCTTCAAGGCCCACAGCGACACGGAGGTGGAGGGTGCGGGGAGAAAGCTATCTACACGTGGGGCGCCAAAGGTAATGCCACTTCCTTTGAGAAGCCTTTGCAAACCAAAAAGCGCCGTCTGGCTCGTGCGTCACGCTGCCGTGCTGTTAGAACTTCTCTCCCCTGGACTCTGGCAGCGTCATTTGCGGCTGCGGGCGCTGGCAGCAGACACATCGGAGAGTTTGCCACGGGCCAACCCGAGCCGCACGGGCACCGCCAGGGCAACCGAAGGAAAACCGCGAAGAACCCTTCCACGGCCACTGCACAACTTGCCCACGGAGGAGCTCAAGCCCCCAACGAGCCGGCCCCGCTCGATGTCATGGACTTCAGCGGGGACATGCAGAACAAATCCGCAAATGATGTTGCCATTGGGTGGCCGTGGCTCAGGACAGCGGAAGGTTTTCATTCACAGCGGGGGATCCCTGACCCCACGCCCGCAGACCCTTTCCCACCTTAGCGAAGATGACTACGATGGACCGCGCCTGTCTGTGCCCATTCCGCTACCCTCGCCCCATTCGGGGGCGGCAACGCCAAAAAAGTCGCCCTATGGCTCCGCCACGACACGCCCCTATCTGGGATTTCGGGTCGCCGTAGGTCGAGACGATACGGGTCACACCACCTTGACCGTCCACGAGGTTGCCGAAAGTTATCTCTGCGCCAGCGATGGAAGTACAAGAGAAGGGCCGGCCTTCGCCTCCGGTTTACGCGCTGGAGATCAGTTGTTACGCTTTGCGGGTTACGCGGTGACAGAGCTCGCGGCATTCAACGCCGTCGTTGCACGTCATGTGCGTCCATGGGCCGGAATCCCGGTGCATTTCTTGAGGAACGGACAAATCATAACGGCAACTATCGTTGTCGGCGAGAAGGCCCGTAATGGCTGAGTGGTGTGAGTGTGTGTGTTCTTTTTTTTTTTTGCATTCTCACTGGCTCAATGCCCACGAAAGTTTTTTCCTTTTTTTCCTTTAACGCCAGCGGCAAAGGCACTAGAAAATCCCAATAGCATGCGGGTTGAAGTGTGTTTCATCACATTTTTGTGCGTGTTCTCTTCCACTTTATTCAATATTCATTCTTTCTCCTGCCGCCCTCACGTGTTTTCTCTGGCTCTGCCGTGGTGCGTCCCCGCACACAGTGTACGCACTTCCACGGCGATGAATGCTTTTTTTTGTATTGCTTTGTTTTTTGTGTCGCTGGTGTGTTTCTGCCTTCGCCCCGCTCTGATTCCTTTGCGGCGTCTCCGCCTGCCCACGGGGGCGACGGAAGGGGGTCGGGCGTCGGTTGCGGCCAGCGTCGCGGTGCCCGGGCACAACGGAAGCGTGCTCTCTGGTGCCGTCTTTGCATGTTTTTTTCTTTTTTGCCTCTTTCCTGCCACCGGCGGGGCCCTTCGCTGCCTTTGTTTTTGCGTTTGAAGCAGGCCGCACGAAACGAAGAAGCCGCATCGCCGTGCCAC